TGCCTTGGCTTCACTTTATCATCTTCATTCCATGTGGAGCATAGGAATTCTCTTCTTAAATTGTATCAAATATTTTTCTTAAATCAGCATGAGTATTACATGCCAGTCCATGAGTACATATTTTATTGTCCTGTCCTATCACTGAAGATGTCAACCTACATTCACATACAACAAAAAATGGATATCTCTAATTAGCAACTGATTAAAACTGACCCGAGGTCGCTGTCAAATAAACTACAGCGTTTTGTGGGTCCTAATTACCCCCAATCATAACCTCATTAAAACATACTTATTTAACATCTAAATCTAGTTTAGTATGTTCACGCAACAAAATGAATATATGCGTGAATAAAACACACAATATGCTCTTCACATCTCATGTTTTAAGGCTGCAATAAAGGTGCATTTCTTATACACGTTATATGTAATCTCTTCAATTTTCGATTCACGTCGGTTCATTTAATTGAACACAAGCATGCATTTCTAATTAATTAATTTAAAACACAATTAATTATAATGCCTCACTCTCCTGTTCACTTAAGCATAAATAATGCAAGCCTGAATTAATACTAAACGTGTTGCAAGAATGCACGTTGAAAAACAAGAAACAGAAAATGATTTGCAATCGATTATTTCTCAATACGTTTCTGCAATTTTCCAATTGAGTTCTCTGGTGCCATGCCAGTTTGGCTACCCCCCCCCCCCACCCCCAAACATTGACGGGCGTAAGAAATATCTGACCAGTGGAAATTTAAATGAGATCGGATGTGGCCTGGGTTTAAATTTGATTTGACCGTTACCTACACCGGTAATAAGACAAGAAGTAAATTAATAACAGAAGATTATAAATTATAATTTATTTTATAACTTGTATCAGGCTGCTAATTGAATCCGAAAACACCCGCCAAACATTATCCGTTAGAGAAAAAGAAAGTATCAGGGCCATACAGGGTTTCTTTCAGTAACTGTCTCTTCCCTCGTCCCACTACAAAGCTATGAAATAGAGTTCACATGTTTCTTGACCTCGGCATATGAAGGGATAGTGTGGCCAGCACTATGCCCAGCCGCCTAACATGAGTTAGGTACTCATTAGAGTCGGGCGGACTCAGGGACGTTTCACTGACTTGAACCCGGATTCGAACTCGAGCAGTCTAGCGCTCTAGCTCTAGACCACGCCATCTTACATATAATTGATCTAGAAAATATATACTGTAACCAATGTCCATTCCCACCCCTTTACGTTTTCATGTCACCCCAGGAAATTTCTAGCTTTTTCGCCCCCGGAAAAAAATGTATGAAAGAAACACCGGGGAAAATTTCTCCTGTTCTTCATAGTTCCAGTTCGTGTACAGTGTACAAAAGGCTTGCCTGTCTTTAGCTGTGTCGTCAGCACCACCATAAAATCCTTCGGTACTAATGATAAACTTTTTATTTACATAATGGTACTGACTGTTTGTCAAAAATTTTTTTTTACAGGTGCAATGCGGAGCTGCATTTTGTTCTTAAATACTACAGAAAAAAACCTCTAAAAATCTTTTTTTTTAAATGTAAAAAGTAACAAATCAAATTAACGATAATTGTATCGATTTATAACAACTACTAAAGCTAGGAAAGCCGAAATAAATATAAACTAAAAAGTACTTGATTTGAGCGAAACTTTTACTAGATACACATGTAGAACTATGTATGAATTGAACAATTGTTATATCGACATTCAAATTGTAGTATTGCCTACTTGATTTGTATTTAAATACTGCGGTTTCGATATTACAACTGCTGTACTCGATATTAACTTAACTATTGAAGTACTCGATATTAATTTAAGTATTAACATACACGGCATTAATTCAACAATGGCACTACTCGCTTTTAATTGAACCAGCCCAATAAACAATACAAATCGATCTTGGCCAGAGGAACTTGACAATGGAGCAGACGGTGATTTGCTTCAGACGCTCTCTGGATACCCTCTCATTAAACATCGCGCGAGAGGTGTGGCGCTCGCGCTCCTAGACAATTGCAAGGCACTTCCGGTACTGGTTGGGTTTGTTTTACGTGTGGAGGGTGGAGTGGGGTGGGAGTGGGGTGGGGGGAGTTTTGTGTTTCTCGCGCGAGTCATGTTGTAGCACGAGACTTGACGGTCGTTATCTTTTTATGGGATCGATATTTCTTCTTGGTGAATGAAAAAAAACTAGTTTGGTTTAAGGTTAGGGTGAGATTTAGGGTAAGGGTAACGGTAAGGTAAGGCTTAGGGTAAGAGTAAGGTTAAGGGTTAGGTTTAGGTTTAGGTTTAGGTTTAGGTTTAGGTGTAGGTGTAGGTGTAGGTGTAGGTTTAGGTTTAGGTTTAGGTTTAGGTTTAGGTTTAGGTTTAGGTTTAAGTTTAGGTTTAGGTTTAGGTTTAGGTTTAGGTTTAGGTTTAGGTTTAGGTTTAGGTTTAGGTTTAGGTCCAGGGTAAGGGTGAGGGTGAGGGTGAGGGTGAGGGTGAGGGTGAGGATGAGGATGAGGATGAGGGTAAGGGTAAGGGTAAGGGTAAGGGTAAGGGTAAGGGTAAGAGTTTGGTTTTGGTTTTGGGTTTGGGTTTGGGTTTGGGTTTGGGTAAGGGTTAGGGTAGTGATACTACCAATGCCTGTTCATCTGGTATTAGAGACTAATAGATAAGTTTATTTATTGTATTCACAGACTGAGTCCCATTTAGTGAAGTAAATCAATATCTTTATAATGTTAGCATTAACTTTGGATACGTTAAATATTGAATCCCACAAACAATGTTGACAGTAACACAATCAACAGGCAATTTACTCGCTCGTAACATTACAGTCAAGTCTAGGGCTTCTAAACATCTGAAAACATCCGTTTTAACTTCAACAGACTATTACAAGTTACATACCAGAAACAATTGTTTTTAGTAAAGAACTAGACTACCCTAAAACAACTCCACTATAATCTCTTAATAAACCGAAACAAACATTTTTAAAAGAAATTATTCTAAGTAAACAGTCAGCTTGCGGGAAAAAAAACTGCAGTAATAGCCGATGAAATTAAATGAAGTAATATAGTATGGTTTGTTAAATTCTGGGAATCAAACGGCTATTATAGTGTTCAAATCCTTTGCGCCACTATCCGTTGTGGTTTTTTTTTTTTTTTTTTACTTTGTTGTTGTTTTTTGAGCTCAGAAGATTTAAAACTACCAACTCCCTTCTATTTAGTTAATGCATACTACTCAATATTTCATAGTTTTTTTTTATATCCTAATGCGGTTGTTGTAATATATTTATGACGGGGATATTTTCATCTCAGAGCAGAGGCCGCTAGAACGTTTAGCGACGGCCCAGGTCGAAACATGTTCAATGTTCGTGTGTCTTATTTACTGTTTACATCTTTATATTTATAGAGGAAACTCAATATTGGTGCAGTAGCATAGCGGGTGGGGGGGGGGGGCATATGTCCCCGGGCGCCGAACTTAGGGGGCGCCAAAATGGGGTGGAGAAATAAATTTAAAGGTTGAGTGGGTGCAAAGCGAAAGTATGAGGGGGGGGGGGGTGCAAAGTTTGAGGGGGGGGGGGTGCAAAGTTTGAGGGGGGGGGGGGTGCAAATCGAAAAGTTTGTCCCCGGGCGCCGGGAAGGGTCGCTACGCCTCTGTATTGGTGCGTGGGTGTGGGTGTGAGGTGGGGATGGGGGTGGGGGTTCAAGTTTTTGCGGCGTCGACTGTATGAAGCCTGTAAACCTGATTACCGATGACGTCACTGTCTGTCGAAATATTGACATTCTATACCTATATCAAGGTAGAACTCTGGTTTTCATCAGCTGTATGAAGAAAGGACTTTTGTCATGTCTATTTATAGAATAAACCAGTCCGAACTGTAAACAAATTGTTATCTTTTAGTGTCAATATTGTTGAGAATTTGTCGATAACTTTTGACATTAAAAAATACAGACAATGGATTTCTAATTAACAAGATAGAAATATGTGACACATTAAAATGTATGAATCACCATGAAGATTGGCTTGTATCAGTAAATGGGGAGGGGTGGACATGGTAAGAAAGATCTAAAAATAGTTCTCTAACAGTCGCATATATCAGGACCTGACTACAGAAATAAGTATGTGGTTAATCACGGAGATGCTGACATAACTTCAACAAATACATTGACCCAAATTCAAAATGTTCCAGAGGCGTAGCGAGGGGGGGGGCGGACCGCATTGGGTGACACCATTTAGGGGGGTGACACCAAGGCAAAATTAGCAAAATATATAGAGAAAAACTTGAGGGGGGTGCAAATCGAAAATTCGAAAGTTTGTCCCCGGGAAGGGTAGCTACGCCTCTGGGGGGGGGGGGGGGGGGGTTGACACCATTAAATGCCGCACCGGGCGACACCCGACCTCGCTACGCCACTGGTTCAAACTATCATCTGATTAAATATTACTTAGAGATGTATGTCCCGGGGTATGACTTCCACACTAGCCGCTTGTAGCGGCCTACACATCTACAAACTCTGTATACTCACTAAAACAATATTTAAAGATAAAAAAATATAGTAATATAAAAATGTTTTGGATTTGTTTTGTTCTAAATATCAATATTAACAAAATATAATAGATTATCTATCTATTAATTTTAATATGGATATTTTGTTAATAAATTAAATTACTCTATTTTTTTTTTGCTTAAAAAAGACATTTTAGTACACATACTATAAGTTTCACAACTAATTACTTTTCTATGTCTTACTCTCAATCGATACCCTTCTTTAAATGGATTTTTATATGTATGAAGAAAGCATTTAGAAATATTCTTGTTGTTCTTTTAAAAATATAGCTTGTACGAGAATCACGATAGGATTGGGTTTTTTTTTCTACAAATATCACGTGTTTCATGCATGTTATTTATTCTTTGCATTGAGACTCTTCTATAACGTAAACTGATGTACATTATGTATGTGTTGTGTACTAATAATATCAATCAATTGATGTGTGTTTTTTTTACCTCTGTCGCCCACAGCTGCTGCCGCCCGCCTCGTCCTCCTCGTCGTCCTCGCCCACCATGTCTAGTCCGTGCTGTGAGAACGGCCGGAGCCTGGTCAACCCCCACACTGGTCAGACGGTCTGTTCGTGCCAGTACCCCGCTGGGCTGCTCACCTACTCCAGGTATGTGGGCCACACCTGGGATGTTCATACCTGACTAGCACACTTGGTTATACAACACACCTGGCTACACAACACACCTGGCTTTACAATACACTAGGTTTTACAACACACAAAGTTGAACAACACCCCTGTCTACATAACACACCTGGCTACATAACACACCTGGCTACACAACACACCTGTCTACACAACACACCTGGCTATAGAACACACCTAGCTACACAACTCACCTGTCTACACAACACACCTGGCTACACAACACACCTGGCTATACAACACACCTGGTTATACAACACACCTGTCTACACAACACACCTGTCTACACAACACACCTGGCTTAACAACACACCTGTCTACACAACACACCTGGCTTAACAACACACCTGTCTACACAACTCACCTGGCTACACAACACACCTGTCTACACAACTCACCTGTCTACACAACACACCTGGTTATACAACACACCTGGCTACACAACTCACCTGTCTACACAACACACCTGGCTACACAACACACCTGTCTAGCACACCTGGCTATACAACACACCTGGTTATACAACACACCTGGTTATACAACACACCTGTCTACACAACTCACCTGGCTATACAACACACCTGTCTACACAACACACCTGTCTACACAACACACCTGTCTACACAACACACCTGTCTACATAACACACCTATCTACACAACACACCTGTCTACACAATACACTGGGTTATACAACACACAAAGTTGAACAATGCACCTGTCTAGACAACACACCTATCTACACAACACACCTGTATACACTACACACCTGTCTACACCAGGATGTTACATAATAACTCATCGATTACAACTTTATTGAAATGGAATGACAAGTACATAAAGGTCAATTTAACGATTACCTAGGCATAGAATACCTTAATATGATATGACTCAAGTAGAATACATATTTACCACTTACCTACCTCACACAATAAACGCAACGTGTGCTATAGTTACTTTCTATCACTGTAGGTTAATGCTGATTTAGTTTATAAATTAACAATCTATATAGAGCTTCTACATGGTAAATATCCGGTATTAAGATATTAGATACCGTCAATATCCTGTATTAAGATATTAAATATCGATTTCCATCATTGTGTTATTAATTATTTTCGCTCTTTATTTAGGCATTAAAAAGGAAATTGTTATTACATAGTTGGTGAAAAGCTTATGTTTAGTGTTACAACCATATTTGTCGAGATCGTGTCGTCTCATTAAACCTTTACATTTTAACCATTTGTCTTAACATTATTCCTGTCGAGTTTCTAACATCATAACTATTATGTTTCGTCTTTCTTAACATCATATTTATTTATTTTTTGTTTTTCCTTAACATCATAATTATTATATTTTAGTTTTCTTAACATTATATTTTTTATGTTTTGTTGTCCGATGTTTTGTTTTTCTCACCATAACTGTTGGGTATTTTTTTTTTATTCCACAGAGTGGGTCACCCCGACCCAGCCTACCCCACCTCCCCCTACTCCACACCACAGGGCTACATGCCCCTCGGCTCAGACCCGTCAGCATTTTACCCCTCGCTGGTGAGTACACGGTGGTAGTGTATGTGTGTGTGCTCATTGATGTAGCCCACACATTGCACACACACCTTAAGCACATATATATGTCCACATACACGTACTGACTTATATAAAACATGGCTACATGCACAAAGACTTGAACGCACATATACACGTATATACACATACAAACACACACACACACACAATGTGTTCTTTTTACCGTGCTGTATATTTTATTTATTTCATATTTTATTTTATTTTTTGTCTCTTTTTTTCTGGAAACTGGAAAATATTGCTATTGTTGACACACCCGAAGTCAAAATTGAGTAAATCTTGTCCAATTCCTCTCTCGTTTGAAACGGGAAAAACGGCAAAAGCAAATGCTTTACACCAATCTCTTCTATAACCAGACATCAACCAAACATCAACCTTGGCCTAACCTAGGGAGTAGCTAGTGGGACGATAGGTTGATCGACCTGAGAGAAACTCCAACAGTGGAGCCCGTTTCTAATATTTATATTATCCAACTAAAAATGTTAAATCAACCCCAACCTAATAAATAAACATAATCGAGCGCAACGGTAGAGATTTTGTCTTCACTCTTCTCTCACATTATAACCTTAAACTTGTCTTCGCTAATGACTTAAGGGTAAAAATAAATAAAAATATGAGCGTTTTTCTGCGAGGGGTATTTTAATATTTAAAAAAAATTCCTGATTGAAATAATGAGAGGTATTTCAAATTATAAATAGATTGTAATTAGAAAGTATTCTGCTGAAATAAATAACAATATACTTAAATAGAATAAAATACGATATAAGACGGTATCGTTCTACTAATGAAAATTATATTCTATCGATTACGTTTTTTTAATCAGTAAATAACATTTGAACTAATATTATAAACATAACCGTAACACAGTTAACAATATTAACTTTACATATAACAATAGTTAAGCTATTCAGCTAACAATATACTCAAACCACAAACCATGAACCCCTCCCCCAACTCGAGTATCTAAACAAGAGACAATGAGTAAATTGATCGCTTAACTTGTCTACATCGAGTATTGTTTAACCAGTACAATAATGGATCAACTATATTAACATGAAATAACTCAAGCGTGTAGTCCTTTTAAGTAAAGGGGAGAGGGGGTACAATGTGTGTGTGTTTGTGTCTGTGTTTAAGAGGGGGGGGGGTGTAGAGAAATGTAACGATCATAAAATGATTAGAAGAAATACCCCCGGAGGCTGGACACACACACACACACACACACACACACACACACACACACACACACACACACACACACACACACACACACACACACCGAGAGACGAACGTACGGAGTTTACCTTTCCGCTTAAGTTGTTTTCTGGTTCAATGGAAGCAGCTAAATCTTATTTTATACTGCTAGCCTGGATCATCGGGCTATAAACTCAACAAATAAAACAGTCTAGTTACTCGTGGCTGATCATAATAAAATAATCTATTTACACCTCGCTGATCATAATAAAATAACCTATTTACACGTCGTCGATGTATCTAGTAGATTTGAGTCAGTTTGTATCAATTGATCAAATCGAAAAAATATGAAGGCTAATTTATTTTAATTTTTTTATTGGCGAGTTAAGCTTTCACATCAGTATAGTTGAAGTGTGGAAAGGGTTAGTTTGAGAGTTAAGCTCTCACATCAGTATAGTTGAAGTGTGGAGAGAGTGAGTTTGAGAGTTGAGCTCGCATCTCGTATGGCCTTCTTCTCTTGCGATTATGACGTTTCCTGAGCCCACTCAGCTTTAGTCGGTACCTGGCCAAACATCGAGCAACAGACTGCTGGTATTCTAGTTCAGCTAACAGTGGAAGTTACCATTCAATTTAAAAAGGATAAAATTTTGAAAAAATAGAGGGCAAATTGTAAAAGCAACATTAGCCATAACAGAATAGCGTATAACAAGTAAAAACACGCTTCTTATGTGTTCATTTTCCGTATGCTACACTATAACACAATAAATGTTTCCGTTTTAAAATATTTTTTTAAAACCAATACACAATATTAAAAAAATGTTTGAATTTTTTTTTTAAACAGCAACTCAAACATTTCAGACATAAGTCGAGTCGACAGAAAACGTTTGTGTCAATTTATTTTTATTTTTAAGTCAACTCGTTAAAATGAAGATTTCTACTGATAGAAGAAAGAGGGGAGATAACATCACTAAACAAACCATAAAATATTCTTTATTAGCCCGAATATCTATCCCCCCATGACGGGAGGGGAGGGCGAGGAAACCGGGGGCATCCAGGTACGTCGACATTTAACATACCTCACACAGTCCTCCACGGTTGGGCTGGGATGTGGGCACATGACCCAGCTATACGGCAGATGACCTCGCTACGGGCAGATGACCGTACGGTTTTGTCAGCGTTAATCCTCTTGACTGTCGCCCCCTCCCCCCTCGTCTAAAGTACTTCAGGAATGACCATTAAAAGCGTACCGAGATGACCCCGGTAGGTTTACATTTTCTTGGGAAAATGGAAAAAATGTGAGGTCTTGGGATTAACGCCGGAATAACTTTACATTAAAGCTGTGTGTGTTTTGTAAGACTTAACTGAATACTGTATGATGTTTTTTCCTAATATACTGACTACACTTTATCGTGTTAAAAGAATATTGATTTGTTTTGGAATGTGTGTTGGGGGGAGGGAGGGTCAGGGGAATTATATTTTAAAATGTATGTATTTTTTTAAATACTAAAATGTAGGCCCTATCAATCAATATAAGATTTTACATACTTCGTTTGAAATATATGTTTAGATACACAAATTATAAGTGTATTTGATTTTGCAAATATATTTTTTTGTAAACAAATAGAGAATATCGTATTAAAGATAAGCTACTTTTAGTGTTTTGAGGTACCTTTTCTAACAATCTAAATCTTGGAATTAGTATTTTAAAAGTACTACGAAAAATAATTTTAGAATTCATATCATAACAATAAAAGAAAACAAGATGGGTTGATTCAAATATGTATATAATCTACACCAGAGGCGTAGCGAGGGGTGGGGGTGCGAATCGAAAGTTTGTCCCCGGGAAGGGTCGCCGCTACGCCTCTGGGGGGGGGGGGGGGGGTGACACCATTAACTGCCGTACCGGGTGACACCCGACCTCGCTACGCCACTGATCTACGCTATCATAATATCTTCTATGAGCGTTGAAATCATCCTTCTCTCGCTGGCTGAAATTGTCCATAGCTGGTTGAAAATTTGGCTTTTGCTGAATTTTGTTTCTCCTGAGGTTTAAATCCGGAGGATAAAATTTTTATCCGGCTTTATTCTTTACCTCCTTCCCTCTTCAAGACACTCCTAACCTCCCCCTCCTCTCATATCTCCCTCGCCCCCACTGCTCTCATATCTCCCTCGCCCCCCCCTACTTCTCTCAAATCTCCCTCCCCCTCCCACTCCTCTCATACCTCCCCCCCCCCACCACTCCTCTCATATCTCCCCGCCTCATCCCGTCCCCAACAGCACACCTAACCCCTTGTTATCCGGTCACCTGTTGACCACTAAGGCACCTAGGGGCGAAAGGTAATGGCCTCCGTTGGTCATTTCTCCACCTTTCACTAGGCTATAAATGTCCATTATGTGTCCGTTATGTGTCCGTTATGTGTCCGTTATGTGTCCGTTATGTGCCTAGTTTAGACGGGGTCACTACGGACATTTAAGCCCAGCTGTGGGATGCCAAGGGATGACATGGGATGACACGGCATGACATACAACAATAAACTCAAATTCTCATTTACCTACTGGTGTACGGTCGAGGGGTTATTCCGATGGACAGGACGAAGTATCAGGGAAAAAAATCTAGCTCTAAACTCTCATTAAAGTTTATCTAATTGATCTCTTGACACAAAAAACGTATTAGTGAATAGCAACAAATAATTTTTATAAGAGCAGAATTATATAGAACTTATTCTTCTTTTGCGTTCTTAATTGTCCAACCAAAAACAAACTATAAGGCAGCAGTTGTTTGATTTTGGAGTTATCTCTCCTAGAAGAGTTGCTACCCCCAGCTGTCAAGCCTCATCTGCTAGTGGGTTCGAACTCGAATCTTGATATCAAACCTATCCTGGCTTTTATATTTATAGCATTGTATTTGCAACAGTTCATGGGAAGTATCGACCTTTAGAGTGGCGTGCATTCACCGTTTGCCTAAATGCCGGTTGCCAAACTGCCGGTTACCCGAAAGCCGGTTTACCAAATGCCGAAACTTTCATTGTAAAAAAAAATTTTTTTTTTTCAGTTTCTATTTTTTTAAAGCGTCAAATTACAAGTAAAGCTATGCTATCATATATTTCTACTACAAACTAACACATGTATTTTAATTCAAATATTTAAAGCGTCGTTTTTAATACGAAAGTTTTTCTTTTTATAAAAAAAGCAAAAATAAAAATAAAATAATAATAATAATTACAGATTTAGAAATGTATCTTTGAATGTTGCGAACTTAAGTTTATAAGTTCTGCAAACTTTAGTTTGTGTTAAATATTTTGCCAATAGCAATTAATAGTTCAATGTAGAATTCACTGTTTATGTAGTTGAAACAAAGTGTAACTTCAACAGTTGTTGTTTTTTGTTACAACGACAAATGGATAGTGAATTACAATGCATGTAGAAGAGATACATTTACATACCCATTGTTCTTCATATTTCATCAAATAGATCACTTCGAATTATTGAAGACTGTAATTCACACTCGATAAATTTCACCAGAAATCAATAACAGTGTCCCGTACCAACCATTAATTCATATTCGACAACTCTTTCCCAAGTCTCCATAAAATCTCATACGAACTCATTAATTCATGTTCGACAACTAAACTCCCCATACAAACCTAGATCTATTAATTCATGTTCGACAACTCGTTCAGAACTCCCAATAGAAACCCATTAATTCATGTCCGACAACTCTTTCAGAACTCTCCATACAAACCCATTAATTTATGTTCGATAACTGTTCTAGAAATCTCAATACAAAGCCATCAATTAATGTTCGACCATTAAACTCTCCATACAAATTCATTAATTCATGTTCGGCAACTCTTTCAGAACTCTCTATATAAACCCATTAATTCATGCTCGACAACTCTTTTAGAACTCTCTATATAAACCCATTAATTCATGTTCGACAACTCTTTTAGAACTCTCCATACAAACCCATTAATTTATGTTCGATAACTGTTCTAGAAATCTCAATACAAAGCCATCAATTAATGTTCGACCATTAAACTCTTCATAAAAACCCATTAATTTATGTTCGACAACTCTTTCAGAACTCTCCATACGAGCTAAAGGAGGCGGGTGAGACGTGGAGAAGTATAGGCCAACCTCCTGGATGTTACCCATACGATCCAACAAACATGGCACCGTATCCATATTCTAATGGGTAAGTTAATATATATATATATATTAGGTTATGTTTTGTTGTTCTACCGCTGTCAGTGATGTTTTATACCTTACGTTTTGTGGATGTCGATTGTTCGTGATGTTTTATACATTCTGCTTTAAATTGTTTGCATATAATCTTATATCATATGCGCACACACACACGCGCGCGCACACACACACACACACACACACACACAAGAACACTCACTGAAGAGTTCATGTTATCACTGATGGAATAGCCCTCTATATGTTTGTTGTTACATAAAACAAATGATCTGATAATGATCTAAAATTATGTTATTATTTTATCATTTTTCTGAAATACAAATTTCTACAAATTCTTAAACCTGCCCTAATGATAATTATAAAAATGATCAAATTAAATTTCGAATGCTTTACATGCATCTTTATTCTTTCAACTGTTTGAAGAAATAAGTACATCTCTTACCCTCTCCGTCCTCTTTAGTTTCTTTAGAGTTTTTCTAATCCCCGGCTAATGCTGTATTTTGTTTTAGTGGCAAATCGTGGAAATTTTGACGTTTTTAATCAACTCGTAAAATATATCATCTTAACCTATGGGGGTTGTAATCATTGTTCATATGTTATTTTTATTTTACACTCTTTATCAGTAGTAGTCTACTCTGAAACACGTGTGAGTAAAATGATGTACAGTCAACCAAATTTAAAACTAGGCAGCGTTAAATAATATTGATGCCTGTATCAAGTCCTAGACACGTTAGTGTAAACTTTGGCAACACCAGATCTAAAATTTAAACGACTGCTCATTTGTCTTTAAACTCTCATAAATATGTACACTTATATAAATCACGCGCATTGCGTTATTAAACTTGTTGATTATCAGTTGTTTAGCAACCCGACTACTTGATTCCTATTCAAGGATCGATTAAAAACCTGCGATTATGATTTCTGAGGTTGATCAATGATGTATCGATACGCTGTGTTATCGATTAGTGCAATGAATCAATCGATTGCATTTGGAGATTAGTTTATTTGCGCTATTACGAAAATAGAATTTTTTTAAATAAACAAATTAGCTCAGAACGTTTTTTGAATCATTCAGAATTATTTATAGTATATATATATAGTATATATATATATATATATATATATATATATATATATATATATATATATATATATATATATATATATATATACAACTTATATATATATATATAAGTTGTATTTATATATATATATATAAATATAAATATGCGTGTGTATGTGTGCGTGTGTTACGTGTGTAGTTGACGAAAATTATTTCTCTGATCGTCATCTAACAACGTTTTTGTTCAACCATACTTCGCTGTGTATTATAATTCTAAACTGGCCAAACAAAACTAAACTCCAGCAACGATTATCAAAATGTATCTTATCACACTTTCCTCCTATACAAGTATACCATCTTGTTTGTAATCATCTCAGATACGGAGGTATGGACATCAACAGCGCCGCGCGGCGGAAAAACGCCACACGAGAAAACACAAATACTCTCAAAGCCTGGCTGTATGAGCATCGGAAAAACCCGTACCCCACCAAGGGGGAGAAGATCATGTTGGCCATCATCACCAAGATGACCTTGACACAGGTGAGTTATGTAAACTTTAAAAAAAACAAAAACCGTAGCCATCCAAAACTTTTTAACTCATCAGCCGCAGAATACGGCTCAAGAAGTCTTCACTATAGGCCCACGAGCTGCAGAATACGGCTCAAGAAGTCTTCACTATAGGCCCACGAGCTGCAGAATACGGCTCAAGAAGTCTTCACTATAGGCCCACGAGCCGCAGAATACGGCTCAAGAAGTCTTCACCATAGGCCCACGAGCCGCAGAATACGGCTCAAAAAGTCTTCACCATAGGCCCACGAGCCGCAGAATACGGCTCAAAAAGTCTTCACCATAGGCCCACGAGCCGCAGAATACGGATCAAGAAGTCTTCACTGTCTGCCCACGAGCCGCAGAATAAGGCTTGAGACCCTTATTGTTCGTTTCATGCTAAAATCGAGTCCAATATTTTAAGCAATCAAGGACCAGAGGTATTCCTATCATCTCTAAAAGTTCAGCACATTTATTAAATCAAGTGTCACTTATCACCTAATGTTTAGTTTAAACAAAGGTGGAAAGTGGTAAATATTGAAAACTAGGCCAGCTTTTATGTATAATCCATCTTTTTAAAAAGATAACAAATTAATAATAAAAAACAATAATTTTACGTTATATGTGATGTAGCTCAATTATTGTCATCTTTTCCCGTTCTTGCCCAAGCAGATGAAGTTGAGTGTATTTGTTTTAAAGACCTCGGCATACATCTTGAGAGCTTGATATAAATAATAACGACTAATAATAATTACCATAAAAAATGAGTTTAATAATTTAAAAACAACAATATAAAATGCAGTGTCAGTATGAGAGAAAATCAGCACAAACAATTTTTTTAACGGGATCGGTGAAACGTTTTGTTTGAAATGGAAGCATTGTATCTTGGCATGTGTGACTTCATCTGTTTCTGTTTTTAATTCAATCTTTGCTCAGAGTTGATTTGTTCGTGGTATTTAATAAGTTCGCGTTTCAGTCAGAAACTAAAATTGGTTCTCATAATAACTTAGTACCTGATTTATTTCATGTATTTCTGTGTAGAAAGTTGAACCTTGTTCCTGATTTATTACATGTATTTCTATGTAGAAAATTGAACCTAGTTCCTGATTTATTTTTTATGTATTTCTGTGTATGAAGAAACGGCTCGGTTTTATTTTTGAAAATGTACACACTACTTTCCTTTTACAGATGAAGTAGAGTTCATGTGTTTCTTTCATCTTGGTATATGAATGAATTGTATGGTTAGCATTTTGTCCAGCTGTATTCACTTCCACGAGTTCCAGACTGCTGAGCTCGTTATTTGAGCTCTAGCCAGAGAACCGAACCCCAGACTTCTGTGTTAGCAGTCGTGTGCGCTACCATCCGACCACTAATCACGTGCCTGCTTCTCTCCCCCACCCCTCACCCCAGGTGTCCACGTGGTTCGCCAACGCCAGAAGGAGGCTGAAGAAGGAGAACAAGATGACCTGGTCACCCCGGAACAAACCAGGCGACAACGACGACGCCGATGACGACGACAGCAAGGAAAAGGGAGATAATGCTGAGAGCGACGAGGAAAACGAGGGAGGAAAGTCGCCCAAAGATGAGAAGAAAAGCTGCGACAGAGGTAAGGAGAGGGAGGGAATAGAGGGAATACAGAGTGGGAGTGTATAAGGGGAATAAAGAGTGGGAGTGGATAGAGGGAATAAAGAGAGGGAGTGTATATAGGGAATAAAGAGTGGGAGTGGATAGGGGGAATAAAGAGTGGGAGTGGATAGAGGGAATAAAGAGAGGGAGTGTATAGAGGGAATACAGAGTGGGAGAGGATAGTGGGAATAAAGAGTGGGAGTGGATAGAGGGAATAAAGAGTGGGAGTGTATATAGGGAATAAAGAGTGGGAGTGGATAGGGGGAATAAAGAGTGGGAGTGGATAGAGGGAATAAAGAGAGGGAGTGTATAGAGGGAATACAGAGTGGGAGAGGATAGGGGGAATGTATGGTAGAGTGAGAGAGATGGGAGTGAATTGAGGGAATAGAAAATGGGAGTGAAAACAGAGAAATCTCAGATGAGAGTAAAAAGGGAGAATGAAAGGGACGGGAGTGAAAAGAAGGAATGAGAGAGGTAGGGTTGAAAACGGGGAATGAGATAAATTGACCACAAACGCTTCGTAATCTAATCATCTATATATATAATACTCTTCTGGGAGCCAATAGAAAGCAAGCTGCAAGCGCCCCCTTGCAGTCCTCTCTCTTTCTCTCTATCACTATCACTACCACCCCCACCCCACCCCCACATTGTCTGGTGAGCTGTGGTTACGCTAAATGTTTACAAAGCTAAATGTTTACAAATCGTAGAGCCGTAGAGCCGGGTTTCTATTAGGGGCAGATAATTTAGTTCGATTTTAAACTTACAGGAGGTAACTAAGAAATAACTGAGGAGGCTGCTTTCACGGGGGGGGGGGGGGGGGGGGGGAGGGGGTAGGGTTGGGGTTAGGGGAAAAGGGGGGGGGGGGTAGTGTTTTAAAGCAAATATTTTCAGTGGCAGCATTGGTACTGTCGAATTCACAAATTATGAATTACTGAAAAGTAGAAAATAAAACAACTAAATAGCGGCGTATGATACGCTGCGGGTCGGCTCGTTTAAAAATACTGCAACAAGCGAGAAAATTATATTGTTTATCTGCAATTTCTTCTTCTTCTTCGTTCTTAACTTTTAGAGTTGGGAGGGATCGAGCCTTATCTGCCAGAGGGTTTGAACTCGAGACTTTTTTCGAATTTATCAACCATGAGCTTTTGCCGACTCGACCATTACGTGTCAACTGGTTATGCGCCATTGAGGCCATTGACTCCGATTTCAGCCTGCTTTTAATTTTGGATTTGCTTCCATAGCTTTGTCCAACCAAGAACACGCTATTACAAGGCAGCAGTTGTTTGATTTTGGAGGTTGTCTCTCCTGGAAGAGTGGCTGTCCCCAGCTAACGAACCTCATCTGCCCGAGGGTTCGAACTCGAGACTGTTCGGTTTAGCAACCATGAGCTTTACCGACTCGACCACGCCGACCCCTATCTGCAACAGAATACCCTTATTAAAATAATATATGAACGACCAACGCTTGTATTTATAGTTTAATAAATAGTAGTTAGTTATTATATTTATATAATTTCTTTATTTTTATACACGCTTAAGAATGTATTTTTAGCAACGTTTTTATGAGTTATTTAATTGGCCGATTCTAGTCGGAATAAGATACGCATGCGATACGCATGCGCAATGGAGAGAAACTACGACTTGCCTTAGCGGCGATGTTTTCGATGGTACTGCGCATGCGTGTGTTTACAACCGCAGAACCCTAATACCAACCCTAATCCTATCCTTAACCCTATCCCTAATCCTATCCCTAACCCTAGCCCTAATCCTATCCCTAACCCTAACCCTAACCCTATCCCTAATCCTACCCCTAACCCTCATTCTAGCCCTAACCCTAGCCATAGGTCACTGCGCATGCGCAGAACTATCTTTTGCCGAAAAATCTTATTCCGAGTAGACACTTCGTATTTAATTTCCCGAGTAAAATAATTGTGTGAAAAAAAAGTGAAACTAACTCTACACGGCCGAACGAGATATGTATTTCTCCCAGGCTAAAGGTAGATGGGTGATGATGACTAGGCACGGTTAAATAATTCGTTTCCGCCCCTGGACGGGTTCACCTGGTATAGAGCTATAAAATATCAAGTCCAGTTAATTAATGAGCCTACAGTAAACCCTGCCGAGGTCGGACTGGCGCTATTAGTCCACGGTGGCAACTCGAAAATTTACGTTGCTGGTTGGTCATGCTGACAAATATCTGGCTTTATTTTGTTTTTAGGTGTTGTTGTTTTGTTTTTTTCTGTTTGTTTGTTTGCTTGTTACTATTTCGGTTGACATGTGTTTAGAAAAAGATGAATAGCGCTAGAATATTTAATACTGTTGAGTGCTGAAGTACTTGATCTAACTGGGTGGCGATGTTTAAGGTTTATCGAAAGTGGGGATACCCATACTTTCTGAAGTCTCCAGCTTCAATGTGGATACGGTTGTCGAAGTATCCACCATCTTACTATCTATACATAATACCCTTTTTATAATCTGCTCTGTACATGATTCAGACAAACACGTATACACACAAAAGCACGGTTCTGGATTTTTTCTAATTGATTTTTTTTTTTGCTTGAAATTTGTAAATTTCAGCCTCACTTTGCCTTGCCTCCTTATAAAGCTTTTATATTAGTTGCCATCATTACTACTGGTACAGATTTACAATTTTAATACTGCTTTCTGACATGTACCTTCATTAGTTTACGAAGGTATATTTATTCATTTTATAAAACGTTTAATTTCATGTATATATCATGAAGGCTCAAACAGTAAACTAATTATAGAGGCAGTGGACATTGAAGAATCCATTTAATTAAATCAGTATAAAACTGTAATGTAGTGTTAGTGTATATTGTCTTTGTACCCAATACGTCTTAGGGCTAATATTTTTTGGATTTCTGGAAACATTTCTGCTGACCGGACGTTGACAATTTAGGGATTACATAATACTGGGGGCGGGGGAGGTTTTACCTTGGAAGGTATGTTAAGATGGAGATGACGATAAATTATTATGCTAACATTTCTTTCTGTACGATTGTAAATAAAAATATTTTTTTCATCTTCCTTTAAAATCAAAAGAAGAAAAGAAATAGCTGTATACCAAAAAAAATTATTTGTTTTAAATATTTATTTTCCATAAAACAAATTACTCCATATTGACAGTAACAAAATTTAACTACAATTGATAGGTTAATAATAACTTAAATAATGGTGAAGGAGTTAAATTGGATATGGACCAAAGATATTTGAATAAAACCAAGTAGGCCTACATCTCAATATAGTAGTCAATTAATTATCTGTCAAATATTTTTAAAAAATGGTAATGACATACTTTAAATGGTTTTAATTTTTGCATATAACAAAATATTTTATTCAATATTTCAAATACTTCAAAATATTGCCAATAATTTTCTTTCAATGCTTATTATATTAGTAAATCGACAAACATATTAACAGCAATATATGTAAGATACATTTTGCAAAATTAATAGAGGTACTTGAAAATTAATATTAAGTTGATTCCCCTGTTTAAACAATCACATTAGTTGTTAGGTCATTGTCTCCCTGTGGCCGACAAAATACAAATGTGATCTGCCAAAATTGAAGTTTATATTTAACATAATAAAACGTATATATATATATATATATATATATATATATATATATATATATATATATTATTTATTTATTTATTTATATATTTGTATATATATTAAACAAGTGTTTCTTTCAGGCATTCACCCCCCCCCCTCCTTTTTTTCGGAGAAAAATGTCTGAAAAAAAACTATATTCAACAATACAATTAAACCTATATAATTGTTTTAATATATGTTTTTCCTGAATTTTTTATATATACCTTGACGTTCTAGACTTAACTTTTTAAAGCAAATAAAATGGTAGAATTTTCATTGCGAGGTAGACATTGGATGATCTCAAGAGACTCGTTCGGCCCGTAGTATGTAGCCTGAATAGCCCTGAACTTTGACTTATTTGTCAAAATTACTGAAAAACAAGAAAAATATATTTTAGGTCGTTTGAATTTAAAAATTTTCTCTTATTTATAGTGTTTTTAAACAATTTTTTTGTTGTTTGTTTGTTTTTTTTTTTTTTTTTAATGCGGTTTTTTTTTTGTGCAGTTTTTTTTTTAATCAGTTATTTATAAATTTCAAACAAAATTTGAAATGAACACCTTTTTTCTGTTATATTAGCTGTAAATGACCACTGTTGACACAATTAAAAAAAAAAAAAAAAAAAAACCAGCCTATTTAGTGTCAGCCATGTTGGCAGTCTACTGCGTGGAATTTTTTTTCCCCTCGGTGCTTGAGACTGCCATGCCATTCTCCGCACGTCGCTACTTTAATCCCCAGCCATATAACAGAGACACACTGAGGCCCATAAATCCTGGTCATGTTGTGGTGGCACAGCCGTGCGCTCCACGTCATCACGTTGTGTGCACTACGTCATCAATTCTTGCAGGGTTTTAGTTCATATTTAATTTTACTTTCGGCAAATGTAAAAAAAAAATTATAATTAGTCACTAATTAGTCAGGTCTAAGATACGTTACAGGTTGTGGATTATCTAAACCCCGAAAAAAAAGTAATAAAACCTTAAAATAGAAACAAACAAAAATATTTTTTCAAGATAGTTTCGAACCCGGACCCCCCCCCCCCTCCCCTTGTCACCATCCACCCTGTCACCGTAGCTCCTCCCCCCATGCCGACTCGAGCCAGACGTACCAGTTACGACACTTGACGTCGCTAGAGTTATGTCCCCCTGGTGGCCTCGAAGACCCCGTGTCATCTCCCCTAAGTTGATAAAGTGGACGGGGCACAACGCTTTCAGATAGGTTTTTTTTTAAACTGTAGCAGGGAGCTTTTGTTACCTTGGGAGGTCTTGTCAGCCACTGCGACCCAAAAGGGTTGTATACATTTGACATTAACGATGGTGGGTTGTTTGTTTGTAACGGGTTGTGGGGTAGGGGGGGGGGGGCAAATG